TCTGTGGCACCTTCTCCTTTCCAGTCTCTCTCCTCGCCTGATGGCTATCCTTGATTGTTTCCGCTTTTGTGAGAGGCCTTCCACCTTCGCTGGGACCGACCTTGCAAAGCCGCCGCGTTCTCCGGCATCATCCTCCTCCGTGGGAGCCTCGCGCGTCTTCTCTAACCTGTTCTGCAGTCCCTCCTCGCTCCGTGCCTCTTTGCCGGAGGAAGGGGAGGCGACACCACCACGACCACCAGGGGTCCATTTCCAGAGAGGGGATCCACGATGCCTTCCCGAGCTGGGGACAGGGGGCGCCTCCAGCGAGAAGGGGGGAACCACACCACCAGGAGGGTTCCTCCTGGGCCCTCGCGCTGGTGGTGGTGGTGCCGATCATCCTTCTTCCTATCTCAGAGCCCAGAGCTGAAGCAACCCGCTCGAGTCTTCCGACACGCCGCCTGGCCTGCCCCACGAGGTCCAGGAGATGCGCGACGTCGTCGGCGCGCTGCGGGAGAGGGCCGACCTCGTGGAGAGCGCCCAGGAGCGCGGCAAGCCCTTCTCCCTCGCCTCGGGCGCCCATTGCTACGTGTCCTGCGCCCTCCAGAAGGGCTCAAGGAAGAAACATAGTCGAATGCCTGCATGTTTTTGAATGGGTTTGGCGTTCTCGCCTTCTCTTGCTTTTGACAGCCCATGGGGGCCCAAGAGGCCTCGTCGATGGCTCCAAGGCGGCCCAGGGGGCCCCAAGGAAGCCCTGCTTCCAGGCCTCACGAGTGGGTGTGGTCGAAGGGTCGCGCCGCACTGGCAATGCACCGGGGCGACGCGGCTCCGTGTGGAGCCCGATTTTCTCGACGCCGACGGCGCCGATGCATCGCCGACGTCGCCGATGCATCGGCGGCGTGGTCCCCCGACCCCATCCATTCGGACCCCATCTAGGAGGCCAGAGGATGAGGGGCCACTGTGAGGAAAATGGTTCCATGCGGTAACTCCTTGTCGTGCCGACGCGGTGGCAACCCGAGCGCGGGGGTTCGTTGTTGAACGCCGCCAGTGGCCCGGAATCGGCCGACATCGAGCAATCTGCGCTACCGGACAGCCGCGCTCAGTCAGGGGTGAACGGTCCACACGGTATCAGAAGCCAGCGCACAAGTCGTCGTTACACGTCGTCGGTATCAGAAATTGGCGCAGCACAGGTGTCGTAATCATGAATTCGCTGGTTGCCGTTTGCTTCTTGTTGCGCCGCACCCCTATCGTTTTTCTGTCATGGATGTGACAGCTAGACGGCTGGCGATCATGCATCCTTTCAATTAGTTGACAGATGCCAGCTTATGACACATGACGCCGAAGCAAGTGGCCAGCCTTCGGTCTGGGTGTCTGCCCTTGCCTAGGCCCTGATGGTATTGCCGAGGTGGATGAAAAGAAAACGACCTCGCGGATGTCTTAGGTCGGCGCTGGACTCCCCCCAACGGTGCCTGCCTCTGGCGCCCCCCCTGGCGAGTGTCGCTCGCCGGGAAGATCCGCGCAGATCTCGAACAGTTCAGGCTCTTGTTTTGCGTTGTTCCCCCAACAGTGCTTGCACTCGGGAGTTCCCAGTTCTTTTCGAAGGAACTGGGCGTGCGGGCCGTTCTGGCCGCCACGTGGCCGTCGCCTCGTCGCCGTCCGTCGCCCAGGCCTGCGGACCGCTCTGGCCGTGGCCGCAGTCGCCGCCCGTCGCCTGGGCCTGCAGGCCGCTCTGTCCGCCATGTGCCCGCCTGGCGCCGCCGACTTTTGGCTGCAATTTTGATCGCACGAGCTCCGCATTGCACCACATAGCTTACGCCACATCTATTTATTGAGCATACCGTCTACCTATATACATATATACATATATATATATATATAAAAAAAAAAGTGGAGGGGTCTTGGACTGGGGGGGCCCACTTTGCAAAGTGGCTGTGGTCCCCCCCCCCACCGGAGGCGCCAGGACGCTCCCAGGACCGCCTAAAATGGTTCCAGGACGCCCTCAGGACATCTGAGGAGAAGTGGGATGGGGCCAAGTTGCCCGCAGGCAACAGGCCGTCTCGCTCATTCCCAGTCGCACCCCCGAGTCCAGGCGCTGGTCGTGGGCGAGAGACACGTCCACATCCGCGGCCTCGCGGGCCAGGCCACTGGGCCGTATATCTTCGCGGGTCCTCCCAAAATCGCCAGCCGGCCCGAGGACCAGCTCCGGGAGAGGCTCGACGCGGGCCCTCGAGTGGACAACCTCGACGGCCTCGTCGAGCAGCTGAAGGAGGTTGTGCCCAAGATCGTGGACCAGGACCGACGGGCCAGGCCAGAACTGGACCAGGTGAGTGGTTCAGCGCCAGGGGCCCTCGAGCCCGCCGGCTCGTTTTTGTTTATCGTCACACGCATTTGCGCTCTTGTCGCAGGCTCTCGAGGAATAGGCACTTCTGGGAGCAGGCCACCGCCCTCTCCTCTCAGTGAGTGCTGCTCGGCACCTGACCACCGACGTCTTGGCAAACATCAGCACGGAGATGTCTCAGCAGTTCTATCCTCCAGGGGGCGCAGGGCGGCTCTGCGCGGATGCCCCGCGCGGGACGTTTTTCTGGACAAACGTCCCATTTGGTTGATGGCGTTTCGGAGGAGGAGGAGGAGGAGGAGGAGGAGGAGGAGGAGGAGGAAGAGGAGGATCCGAAGGAGGAGGAGGAGGAGGAGGGGGAAGAGGGGGAGGAGGAGGAGGGAGGAGGAGGGAGGAGGCGGGAGGAGGCGAAGGGAAGAGAGCGATGCCGAGGAATGAGAAGGGTGGGAAGACAGAGGACGAAGGATGAGAGAAAGACGGAGGACGGAGGCGGAAGCAGGAGAGGGAGGAGGAGGGATGGGGGAAGGGGGAGAGACGGGTGGGGAGGTCGTTGTCGTCGTCTGCCAGTGTCTTCACGCTGGTAGTGCTCGGTTCTAGAAGGGGGCGGGGCGGGCGGGGAAGGAGGGAGGTGGGAGGCGCAGGGAGGAGGGAGGAGGAGCAGGAGGGACGAGGCATGAAGGACGAGGGAGGGAGCGGGCCTGAAAAAGAGGAGCTGGTGCAGCACGCTGGGGAGGACGCTGTGCTCCAAAGAGGTCGGGCCTTTTGGGTCGGAGCGGCGCTGGCCCGCTGCCCCTCCCCCGGGCTGGCAGGAGCAGAGGCTGCAGGACCTCGACCCCAAGGCCCCCCGGGGGAGCGGGGTGGAGAGGGGGGGGGGGCAGGGCCCACTCAGATCCGACCGGCTCGATCTCGAGATTGCCCGGCCCGACTCGACGCGGATGCTCCGACGATCCGATGCGGGCCGGTGATTGCATGGCGCTGCTATGCATCCTGGCGCCGCCGGTTCGATTCGATTCGATTCCGACTCCGAGCCGATGCGGTCCGATCAGCTACCTGTTCCAATCCGTTCCGAGTTCCCGGTTCGGTGCTGACCCTTCCTTGGGGGGCGCGGCGTGGCGCGCGCCCATGCTCGGGACCCGACGAGGGTCGGGGGAGAAAGTCCAAGAGAGGGGGAGGGAACCCGAGGCGTCCAGAGCAGGTTGCCGGCGTTGTTCGGACGTGTTCGGCTCTTTCGAGGTGTCTCTCGCCTCGGATTGCGTTCTGGCGGCTGCGCCTCGTCGAGGGCTTTCCGGGGGGGGCCAGATCGCCCGGAGCGGCCGCGGCAGGCCTGAGGTGTGATGGCCCGGCAGCGACCGGGCGCGGAGGAGGGGGTGAGGACCAGGGGGGCGCGTTGGCATCATGGCCAGGTCCATGGCTTCTCCCCGACTTGGTGGCCCCCTCTCCTCACGTTGCATCTTCGGGGGACCTCGTCTGTTCCAAGCATTTGTATCCTCTCTTGTGCCCGACGCGGGTTCGATGCGGAGTCCACGCGGATTTGGCGTGGCTTCGATGTGGATTCGACATGGATGCGACGAGTGTGTCATGGAGTCGACCCAGATTCGACGCGGATTGGGGCGCGACGGGACGGTCAAGGTCCCCCGAAGAGGCAAGACCATTCTTCTGCTCTCAACACGTCCCTTGGCCTCCAGTCCCCCTGTCCCCTTCGTCCGCGCACGTGCCTCGGGCCATGGTGCTCAGCCCTAGTCCGCCTCTTCCCCGCCCCTCTTCGGCGCACCCGAGAAGGGGATAGCGTGGAAGAGGGGGGGATACGGAATGGACTGCATGCAGCTGGTTTCGGCGCCGCCGCCAGGCGCGCGTTCACATTCCCAGCTTTGCATCGATGAACCGCGATGCGGCTGCTGCGAGGCGGCACGAACGAGGCCGTACATGTGGGCCTCCCACAGAGCGCTATTCCATCTCCCTCGCCTGTTTCGCTACCAGTCTCTTCTCGCCGGTTCTGTCTTGGTCCCTGCACATCCCCTCGAGGTCACCCCATGATGTTCCCCCATAATGTTCCCCCCCAATCCCTTCCCTTTGAACCTCCCATTCCCTTCTGCCTTTCCCTCCTCTCCTCACATTCCCTCCCCTATAGCACCTTCCCTGTTGTCGCCCCCTTTCATCCTCCTTCCCTTTCCCCTCCATGTTTGATTCCGTTCCTTCGCATTGTCATCCCCCGAGGTTCTTCCCTCCTCTCCTGGTCGCTTTGTCCCCAATCCGTCCCCCCCCCTCCTTCCTCGTGACCTCTGCTCGTGAGTTAAACCTGCCCTCTCGCCAGGTGTGCCTGGCTTTGATGGTCTCGCCAGATCGTTGCACTCGCTCACGTTCGTGACTTGGCTGTCCGCCGTTCGTCACATCAGCTTTCCTCTTCCCTCTCCGGAAGATCCCCCTGGAAACAAATATCTCTTCCTCCATCCGCATCCTCCCCGTCCCTCTCTCTAACCTTCCTCCCCTGGCCCCGTCCTCCTGCCTTGGTCCCTTCCACTTCTTTGCCCTCTTTCATTCCCGTCTCTCGCTCCTTCCAGGAGGAACGAGGGACGCCCGACGACACACACGAGGCCGACGCTGACGTAGGCGACGACGACGCGGCCAGGTGGGGGCGCTGCAGGCCATCCTGGAGGGCTTCGGCCCCTCTTGGCATCCCGCGACGGCGGAGGAGCTCCGCGGGCAGAAGGATGAGGATGAGGAGGAGGAGGAGGAAGAGGAGGAGGAAGGATGGGAGGAGGGAGGAGGGAGGCTGGAGAGGAGGAGATCGAAACCAACACAATCGCATGAACATCCCCTGGCGGCGCCCACGGCGCCGGTCCCGGCGCCGCGCACGGCGCGCCAGGGAGGGGGCTCCAGTTGGGATCCAAGAAATCCACGCGGACAGGCACAAGCTCATGTTTGCTCAGTTGCTTTTTCTTCTAGAGGTAGGTAAGTTTACGATTTTACGAGCGCATATGCGCGAGCTAGTTGCCCGCGAGCGCTCTGGAGAAGAGAGAAGGTCCCCTCCCCTTCCCTCAGGCCTGCCAGGCCCGTCCCCGCGCCCTAGCCGCCGTTGAAAGACAACACCAGGTAATGTCCAACACCTGTTCAAAAATGATGGCCCCCCCCCCTCCACCCTCCAGATTACGACTGCCAGTAATTCGACGCCGAATAATCATTTTTTAGACGGTCCCCCTAGGAAATAATTCTGAGGCCAGAACGGTGCGATATAGTTACACACATTTACATACACATGTCTGTATGCATGTATGTATGTGTGCATGTGTGTATAAGTAGATGGATGGGTGTATGTATGGATGGATGGACTGATGGATGGATGGATGGATGGACGAATGGATGGATGGATGGATGGGTGGATGCTGCTTATAATTATATATATATATACATATATATATATATATGTATATAGACATTTGTGTATACATATATATATATACAAAGGGACAGGGGCTGGTGGCTTCCAGGGCGGCCCCTCGACGCGCCATGGGGGCCCTGTGGCCCCAGGAGCGCGCTGGGATCGCGCTGGGTGGCTGAAGACGCCCCCTGAGGGCGCCAAGAGAGCTCCAAGAGCGATCCGCGAGGCCTCCAAGGCAGCCCACGAGCGCTTCAAGACGCCCAAGATTGCCTCAAGGTGGCGGTCGCGAGGACGTCCCCGGCGGTCCATATTGCCCCGCGTTCGTGCTTTTTTTTATAGTATACATGTATATGTATGTATATGTATGTATGTATATATATATATACATACATATATACATATATATATATATATATATATATATGTATATGCGCGCACTACAGCGTTGGGAACAACATGTTTTGTCAATTGTGCCCCCAACACTGTTTTTGGTGTAATTGCGCTTGGGCATGGGATGTCGAAAACAGGCGGCGGAGGGGACGACGACAGGCGACGGGGCGCGGCCAAAATAATCGTATAGCCAACAGACTCCGCAAAGCTAAACACAAACACATGGTCTTCGGATTTTCCCCTCACGGATTCTCGCGAAAGAGTTCTTCACACCGCAGGCAGCTCACCCGATGGGTGGGGACCACATCGATTCCGAAGCTTGGACCCCATCTTGTGGGCACATAATGAACCACATGCGTTAGAGAAGACGTGCGGACCATCCTGTTCCATCACATGCCCCAAAGAACTGGAACATTGGAGCTCAAACTCCCCGTCCTCATCCCCAACACAGGGCACCGACGGGGGTCCACACCCAGGACCGACGACCCCGCCCGAAGACCCCGAAGAGCAGGCACGGCCCCCAGGACTCCAGAGGCACCAGAAACCGATACGTGAACCGTCTCGGGCCTTGCCAGGTGGGCGGTTGCAGAGTGCAATCAGCCAGGGCCGAAAACCAGACGCACACGCTCTGTGTCTCTCTCTATTCTTGTTCTCTTTCTCTCTCTCTCTCTTTCTCTCTCTCTCTCTCTCTATATATATATATATATATATCTCTGGGTCGCAAGCGCGACCAGCACCTTGGATGAGCAGCCCGACTGCCGACCGAGACCGCACCTTCGCCAGGCACACCCTGCGCACCAGGCGCAGGACAGTCTCAAAGAACACGTGCCCCAGGAATTCGAACAGTTTGGGCGCGAAGGGGAAGGGTCAGTCATCCCCGGCTTCTGACTACACGCCTCGACCAGCTATTTCACAATTTGTTTGTTTCCCGCAGGCTGAACCACCGCCCATCCCCAAGACTTGTCATTCGTACAAAGGTAGTTTGCTTGTCGGCCTCGACCCTACGCGGGAATCAGGCGCCAGGTGAGACTTCGCTCCCAGCGGAGGGGGGAAGTTGGCTGGCCGCATTTTGCGCGAAGATTCCTCAAGCGAGAGGTGAGTATACCATTCGAGCGCAGACGGCTTCCACATCGGCCGTGGGCAACATCAAACGTGTGGCGCCAGATCAGCATGGGCGCCCGTGGCCGACGCACGCACGCTCGACAATTTTGACATTCTTTCAGGCGCCGCGCCCAGGAGATCCCACACAACGAGCCCACGGAGTGCAACACTTGAAGCCCCCGCAGCAACGATGCTCATCTCCCCGTGCGGCCCCTGGACGAAGCCAGACAGGGCCCCGAAGCGCTGCGCGGGCGCCCCCCCGCCCCCCATCCGGGCGGCGGCCCGCCCGCGCCATTTGAATTCAGGCCAGGAGCTTTGCGCCCCCGAGCCGTCGAACGAAGCCATGGGCCCCCGGGGCTCAGGACTAGAGCCCCCGCCCCCCCAGAAGGAGATAGGGCGGCAGGGTGGACGGGCGCGGGGCGCCGAGGACACGCGGGGGCCTGAGGGGGCCCAGTGCTCGAACCTTAGCGCGTGGAATTACCATCGCCCGCGTTCAGACGAGCCCCCCTCCCTTCCTGTCCAGGCCAAGCATGCTTTCCTCGCGCGTCGTCCTGCCCCAACAAACTCGTACGCGCGCGCAGCGTGTATCCCGAGCCGCCAATCTCCTTCCGTGCTCTGCGCTGCGGGCGCGGGCGCAGAGGCGTCAGCGGCCGCCCTCTCCGCTGTCTCCCGGGCCGCCATGCGCCCGCCCGACCGGGGGCAACGCAGTCCACTTGCGATTCGCGGCCATCTGATCGCGGCCGCATTGCCCCCGGCAGTGGCTGAGGGGCCCGCGCCCACTGACGTTGTAAACCTTCCAGGAGGCCCTGACGGCGCCCCCATAATCCGCCGCCCTCGCCATCGCAGGATTCCCAGCCTCACCAGTTCACGCGCGTCTATGGTCGCCATCGGCAACGGCAAAACTACCTGGCCCTCATCGTTGGCAATGAGCGCGCCACTGGGCATGTCCCACACGATGCTCACGAGCGCAAGCCAGGTAGCTGCCAAGGACCACGCGCGCCCTGCTAGCCAGGCGAGTGGCCCCACAACAGATCCTGCAACACTCTCCGAGCCCGCTCTGGCCTGGCCGCGTTCATGTGCTGCTCGAAGACGAATCCCACATCGGTGGTCACGATGCTTAGCGAGCTGCTTGAAAGATCGGGCTCATCCAGGGGTCCTTCCGCGTGGCCAGGTATGCCGTGGCGTCGCACCTTCGGCGCGCGCCCCGGCAAACACTCCATCTGTCTGTTTGGACTTCAACGGGTCGCAATCCGGCGCCGATGCTGAGCGGCCGCGAGCAGCTGCCCATAGTGGCCCATAGTTGCTTCGTTATCCGCGGCGGTCCGATTCCGGCGCCCGCCGCTCTTCTGAAACCTTGGGATCCAGCTCGTGCGAGCACCAAGTTGGCGAATCTCGCCTTCGCCGCCGCGCGGATGGCCCTGCCCCCGGCCACGTCATGACCGAGGTTGCCCATGTGCTTCCTCCTCGTGGGCCTCAGAGCGCAGGCCCGCGGGAGAAACTTGTCCAGCGCGGCCCGCGCCGCGCTCGCGTGGCCCGACTTCGCGGGATGCGCCGACGGGCCCCGCTTCCACCCGCCAGACTTGAACCCCCTCGCTGGCTCCACCGCTACAGTTGCCTCGCTAACCGCTCGGCCAACCCGTAGCAGAGCATCGTCGCCAATTGAGGCCTTGGGGAAGACTCCTGTTGGGCACAGCCTTCGGACACTGACAAGCGCGCCATATGCATTGCAGGCAGCGTCGGCGCGGGCGAGCAGACACGCAGTCTGCCCTGCCCAACGCTCTTTGACCTCGATGCCCAAGTATGGCGGGGCCAGCAATCTCATGGGATGCCCTCTTGCACGGGCCTCCATCTGTAGGGCGTTGATCTTGACTGCGTCGAAGCATGTGCATCCATCGCGATGGCTAGGGGCTGTTCACCGAAGAGCTGGGAAATCTCAGCTGCGGCGCTGCGCAGGAAGGCCGACCCTGATGACGCGCGTCCACGGCCCGCTCCCCCGAACCACCTCATCGAGGAATTTTGCCAGCCATTTTCGGGGCAGAGGGCGCCTCGGTCTCGCCCGCAGTCGCGCTGTCGCGCGAGTCAAAGCCGCCAGTCATGCCCCCCCCCCCCCCCCTTTCCCCAGAGCCTCCGGCTCTTGCGCAATGAACCCATCCCTTTTCTGACGAATACACTGCGACGGCCAGCTCAACGACAGCACCCACTGCGCGAAGCATGCCGCCATCGCGCCCAGCGCCGCCATGGGCAGAAACCAGAGCGACTGCCGTTGCAGTTCCAGTGGGCCCGCCGCAATCTTCTGCTTGGTGGCGGGGGGGCCGCCTTCCATCGTCCGCGCCGCGATGCGTGGAAACGGGGCCCAGTCGTTTCCGTCGTGCGGTAGCTCCGCCTCCCCGGCGCCGCGCGCTGGCAACGCCGTCATCCACTGGCGCATCTCGCGGTCAGCGATCTCATGTGGTGGCTGCCCACTTCCAGCATGATTTCATTGGGCTAGTTTGAACCGAGCGAACCGATGCGCTGCATTAGCTCCCTTCCCAAAAACGCCGCCAATCAGGCGGCTTCCACCGAACTCGCTCACATGTTTTGCGCTTCCCAAGTTGATCGCCATGCTGCTTCTCGACGCGATCGACCACCTCGTCGAATTTGTTTCTCGCCAGAAGATTGACGTTTGTGCCCGGCAAAGTAGGGTTCAGATCTCCACGCAGGCAAAAACCGTCGATGCATTTCCACACTGCCGCGCCCCGTCCAAAATGCAGCAGAAACTTCGCCAGCCCCTTTCGCCGCGGGAAGGTGGTCCCATTGGAACGCCCAGCATTCTGCATCCGCCA